GTTGTTTGTTGATTTATTGATGGAGCCATTCCGACAGGCATGAGGTGCTGTCTCACTGTGGTTTTAATGTGCGTTTCTCTGATAACCTTGAGCATCTTTTCCTATGCCTATTGGCCATGTGTTTGTCCTCTTTAGAGAAGTGTCTGTTCAGGTATTTTGCCCGATTTTTAATTGGATCTTGTGTTCTTTGATGTTGCGTTTTATAAGTTCGTTATACATTTGGCTAGTTGTTTTAGGTGCCAGCAGCAGAGAGAATTTTGAGTCCATCCTATCCCTGTCAGCCGCTACAACTACAACTTAGGTACCCAGGTTTGTGTGCAAAGTAAATAGCATAATGTCGTCTGTTTAGTAGGTTTCTACATTCTCACAAACTGAATACAGGAGAGGTATCATAAACATCGATAACCAATAAGAAAGTAGTATTGATATCCCGTAGTTTTTGGTCTGTCTCTGTTTTTGAGAAAACCACGCTTACTGTCTCTGTGTTTGGTGAAGGTCATAACTTTGTGCTTGTTGTTGTGTTTATCCCTAGCTTACAATTTTAGTAATGACCTACAGATTTTTTTCTAAATAGGAATTACCACCTTGGTTAAGAATATCCCATCTTTTGTGGGAGTTTTGATCATGAAAGTAAGTATTGCTTAATTAGTAGAACATGATTTTATATATGTGTTAAATTTAATTAAGAGAGGACCTTTGTCTTTAAGTTAATTAATTAGTCTATCAATTAAAATAAATTTTATTCCAGCAGTGTCCTTTTTTAAATAAAAAGTGAGAAGCTAAAGATAATAGACAGACATTATTGCACGTTAAAATTTAGTATATATAAATCCATGCACCCAGTAATTAAAACATAAAATAATCAGTGCTCTGTAAATGAGCCTGTATCTGTTTTAAAGTTGGTCCCCTGAATGGGTGGTAAATGATAATTTGTAAGAGTCATGAACAAATGAGAGCTAATTCACTACTGTACTTTAAAGTATTAAAAGTGTCATAATTTAAAAAAAATATATATTTTTATTGATTTCAGAGAGAGGAAGGGAGAGGGAGAGAGAGAGAGAAATATCAATGATGAGAGAGTCATTGATCGGCTGTCTCCTGCAAGGGGAACCAAGCCCACAATCCAGGCACATGTTCTGACCAGGAATCGAACCAAGATCTCCTGGATCATAGGTCAATGCTCAACCACTGAGCCAGGCCAACTGGGCAAAAGTGTCAAATTTTAAGCTGACAAAATATATAAGCAGAGAGCTACTTATTTTATTTACTATTTCATTATTATGTATATTATGCATATTTATATGTCTATCAATATATGTAATATATATTATATGTAATATATATTATATAGCTACATTTTCTCACTTCTCAACTTTAATAGACATCTCAGTTTATTTAAGGGTGTTAGGTTCAAGTAAATATGCTCTCTAGCTACTCTTTATATTCAAATGTCCAAAAAGTGAATGCTTTGAAACATTCGACATATAGAAGGACATACTTAATCTTAATACTCCCCTCTTCTAACTGGTGAGTATTCAAAGAAACTCACTAGTTTCTTCCTGGTCTCTAGTAGGAATATTTTTACTATACAAAATTGACTTTGAAGGCCAACTAAAGTAGTCATTGGCTCAGAGGAAGCCTAGTAAAATTTATATACGTAGGCATTAAATAGACCTTGTTCAAGTATAAAAAGACAGATTTGGTCCTTTCACTCCCCTGCCTAAATCTTTAATGACTTCCTGTGGCTCTTTGGCTGGAGATCAAATCCTTGTTATGGTCAAACCAGGCCTTCACGACCTGTCTGCTTTCCCGAGTGTCCTCATCTGCAATAACTCTTCCCTTTAATCTCTCGCCTCCTTTCTTACATCAGCTGCTGCTGTTTCTCCTCTTCCTCCCCCTTCCTCCCCATCCTGCTCCTTCCTTATGTCATGCTTCCTTCTGCAGGTACATTCCAGTGTTTGCTTCCACTGAGGTCATTTGATTGTCCCCTCTCCGCTCCTCTTCCCATACTCAAATCTTCACCTAGAGAATGGCCTAAGTCATCCTTCAATGCTCACTTTATGAAGGATTGCCAAAGGAGGCACTAGAAAACCAGTACCTTTATATTCAAGTTATTAAATTGAGACTATTTTGTGAATTAAAGCAACAGAAAGAATTTTAATTGGGTGATAGTGATTGTAGAAATTGTAGGAGCTTCCTGAATTGTGACTTAGGGGCAGGGGAATAACCATTTGCCATACAAAATAAATTTAAATAAGAGAAAAAAAAGTTGCTCTATGATTGTATCCCATGAGCTGTGCTTTGTATCATACTTGCTTACCCATATTTATGACAGCCGGAGATGATCATGTCTGAAGTGGAGAGATGGGCTACAGAATGGTGAGAAGCCACATTAAGTGGGGTGGCTTGGGGGGATTTAAAAGCATGACAGAAGTTTAAACTTGATTATTACAGGAAATAAGGAATGGCATCGGGTTTTGAGCACTAGCACATTATGGTGAACGTGACAGTTAAGGAAAATTACCCTGGTAGCACTGTGCTTGGTGGACTATAGGACTGGAAAATTCAAACAGGAAATATAAATTAATGAACAGAAAATATATAATATTGTTATAATCTAAGGGTAACATTATGAGTTTTGTGCTAAGGAAATAGTAGTAAAAACAGAAAGGAAGAAAATAATTGAGATATTTTAAGAGGAAAGTAAGAATGGTGACTGATTTATCAATGAAAGGGATGAGTCACACATAATTTCTTAATTTTAACTAACGTGATTGATAGTCCAACTGATATCAAACTGATAAATGCCCCAGAAGAAGTGCCACCTAGAAAGAGGCATAGAACTCAGGTGGGAAGACATAGGGAGATACTAGGATAAAGTAGCTATCGAAGAACATACAAATATTTTGAAGGAGAGAGTGTACAGCAGCGGTTTTTAAATTTTGGAGTAAATAAAAATTACTGGTGGAGCCTGTAAAAAATTCAATTCCTGGATCCTTTCCACATCTAGAAACCAGAATATCTGTGTAAGAGCCTGAAAATTTTGAGTTTGCAAGTACCCATGGTGACTGGATGCAGGTAGTCAGGAAACACCCTTTGAGACCCTCCAGTGAATAGAACAGAAAAATGCCTGGAATCCAGAACTGCTTGGAAGTTTGAGGAGGAGGTGGAAATCCCAGGGATTTTTGGGAACTGCAAAAGAAAACTATCATAGAGCCAAAGGAAAAAGTCCAGAAGCGAGAGGACAGCATTTGTCAGATAGATGTAGGAGTTAAGGAGCGTGAGGTTGGCTGTGACATCTGATTGCCTACCCTTCCCTTGCATCTGTCCATATTCTTTTCTTCCAGGTGTGTTTCTCATAAAGATATGTTTGGATTTATCTTGAAATCCATTCCGATAAATTTTGTCTTTTAACTAGAGCATTTTGTCCGTTGATATTTTCCAAAGTCTTTCCCAGTCGAAGTCTGCTGCTGGTTTTCAGTCTCATTCATGTTAACATATTTCCTGAGGTGTTTTGTGATTTTTTTACTGTGGGCTTGGATCCTTATCTGAGAGAATTCTTTGAACCCTGGGGATGAAGAGGGGCTCCTCTGGAAAGTGTTTGTGCTTCTCTTGCCCAAGTGTCTCCCCAGTCTGTACCATGTTAAACTTAATTCTTGGCTTAGCAATTGATGAACAGGTTTCTTGTCCATTCAGTACTGACTATCCCATCATTACAGAAACATTTGGGGTAGATCAGCAATTGTATATATACTTGTACATATGTATACACAGCACATACTTATATGTGTAGATATATATGCATGTATACGTATATACAAATATATGTGTGTGTGTGTGTGTGTGTGTGTGTTTAAAATGTATTAATGCTGATACCCTAGTGTGCAGGCCTTGCTTCTAAGACTGCTGTGAAGTGAGACATGAAGGAATGAGACAATGAGCATTTTCTTTTCAAAACCTAGTGAAAAACTGAGATTGGAAGAATTTACTTTGCATATTTACTTTGCATGGTCAGGCACTGTTTTAAAAGGCTTGGAAAACTTTTTTTAAGGTTTTTTGGTTTGTTTTTTTATTGATCTTAGAGAGATTTGTGTGTATTTTTTTTTTGCCTCTAGCACAAGCCCAGATCCAGAATTGAACCCTCAACTTTTTGGCATACAGGATGACACTCCAACCAAATGAGCCACCTGGCCAGGGCTGGAAAACATTTTTTTCTTAACAAAGTACTTCCCTTTGGGAAGTGGGACTCTTGAGCCTCCCCCCAATAAATTCATTATCTGAATAACTACTATATATACCAGGTTCTAAACTAAACAGTCTTTATAGCAGTTAACATTGGTGTGGTGCTTTGATGTTGACATATAATGTGAACTGTGTTATCTCAGACTCATCTCTACCTGTCATTTCTTATTTATCTACTTGGTTGACATTACATCTGGGTGGGTAATATGTAGTCAGGTTTAACAAAGGCAGCACAATTTATCTTTCTCTGTTGAATTGATATACTTCGAAGATGTCCATTGTTTAAGCTCTAGGAGAATATTGTTTACTTGACAGATTTTGAACTAACATTTTGCAAATATACTCAAGTCTTTGTTTGCAAAGTGAGTGTATTAGGGTTCCAGAGAAATGAAATCAATAGGAGCTCTGTATCTATCTCTCTATCATCTCTCTCTCTCTCTCTCTCTCTCTCTCTCTCTCTATCTCTATCTCTATCTCTATCTCTATCTCTATCTCTATCTCTATCTCTATCTCTATCATCATGTCTATCTATCTCTAATCATCTATATCATCTACCTAATTATCTATATCATATACCTAGAAGTGCAATCACAAAGACACACAGAATAATGTTTGGCCAAGTATCTGGGCACTCCATGGCCCAGTCAAGTTGACATAAAATTAACCATCACTGAAGAATCAACAGATCAGATGTTCTATTGCTCATCAGTATTTATTGCATGTTACTTGTTTCTTAATTCTTTCTTTCCCTTGCCCAGGAATTATTTACTTAACATCGACTCTTAGTCATTTGGAATCTGCTGCACTTCTGTTGATGGTCCGTGCTCGAGATGGTGGCGGGCTCACATCTGTCATTAATGCCGATGTCACTATACACATACTTCAGACCACTCTGGCACCCGCTGAATTTGAAAGGCCCAAGTACACTTTCTCAGTTTATGAAGATGTGCCCGAAGACAGTCCTGTTGGAATGGTGAAAGCGAAAGAGTCCTTGAGTAAGTATGCTTTATGCTGCATTGAAATCCATTATGGGGACATTTCCTGTATTTCCTTAGGCTGTACAGTCTGATATTAAATCTTTCCTTTTCTGTATGCAACAAGAATGTGGGGAGACCACACAACCTGTGGCTTGCTCTTTGTTCTTCAACATCATTTCTATCCTACAATTTTTTTTCTAATCACAAAAGTAGTAGGTACTTTTAAAAGAAAATTTAGCCCTGGCCTGTTTGACTCAGTGGTTAGAGCTTCTGCCTGTGGACTGGAGGGTCCTGGGTTCAATTCCGGCTACGGGCACATGCCTCGGTTGCAGGCTTGATCCCTGGCCCTACTATATATAAAATACATTAATATTTTCTGATTCCAGTGTTTCCAGCAGGTACATTCTTTCGACATACAGTGATTGCTTTATTTTTTATCCTTTGTTTCTTTTCCTTAATTATTCAGATTCCTCAGAACCAATATTTTACAGAATCTCCTCTGGCGATCTGCAAGGAAAGTTCTCTATTCACCCGTGGCTGGGCACCATTCGAACCCAGAAGCCCCTGGATCACGAAACGCAACCGGTGGTGGTGCTCACCGTCCAGGCGCAGCTCGGCAGCTCCCCCGCCTGCAGCAGCACGGAGGTCAACATAACTGTAATTGATGTCAACGACAACAGTCCAGTGTTCCCCAAGGCCTCGGACGAGGTGAAAGTATCCCAGATCACGCTGCCTGGCACGGCCTTGTACCGCGCGCGGGCAGAAGACAAGGACAGCGGCTGGAACGGCTTCGTCCGGTACTCCCTTGCAAGCCAGAGCCCCCGCATCTTTTCCGTGGACTCGGGCCTGGGGGTGGTGTACCTCAACGGCAGCCTGGCAGGCGATGTGCCCCAGGAGCACACCCTCACTGTCGTGGCCCAGGACCTCGGCATTCCTCCTCGTGCCTCCCTGTTCGTGCTCACAGTAGTTACCGAAAAACAAGAATCGAGCCCATCCTTGATTTTTGGAAATTTGGTCTATCAAGTAGAAGTTAGTGAGTCTCTCCCACTGACGACCCAAATCCTGCAAGTACAGGCCTATCGGCTTGGCCCCCAGCGCAAAGCCTCCCCGCTTCTGTACTCGCTGGCGCCCAGCACCGACTCGGCCGTGTTTGCCATTCACCCTTACACAGGCTGGATTTATCTGCGGCGACAGCTCGACTATGAATCCACCGAAACATATAATTTAAGAGTGTTTGCCTGGATCGCGGAGGACAGGTTGTCACAAAATGTGAGCACTTCAGTAATTGTTCATGTCCTGGATGAGAATGACAATCCCCCTACCTTCTTGCATGATGTGTTGTTTTTGAAAGTGAAGGAGAGTCCCCTGCCCCAAGGGGTAATAGGCAAAATTACAGCAATTGACAGAGACTCGGGAAGGAACGGACAGCTGACATATTTCCTTTTGTCTGATGGAAAATTCTTCAAGATGAATCCTCATACAGGTAGCATTTTGTAGCTTCCACTTATTCCTTTAAAATTGGAGTTGACAAAACCCAAATCTTTCAGTTATAAGATTAGTACAAAACTATAATTAAAATTAGTTTTTAGTACATACCTTATTGGCTGTAGTACTGTGATTTTAAGATGAAGTAAAAACGAATAGAACTTTATCTATGATGATTCCTACTTCTCTTGTCTCTCACCCACATATTACTAATATATGGCTCTTATTCTAAATTAGAGATACAGTCAGAACTGGATTAATAAATCCTTTTATAAAGTCTAATTTTTTTCACCAACCTTCTTTTCCACTTGTAGATTTTTAAAAGTCGGATAATATTTTATAAAATATAAATGTCATTGATGTAAAACTAGAAATCAATCCAAGATTTCAGTATCTATTGATGTATTTTCCCATTCTCATTTTGATAAGGGAACCAGGGGGAAAGGACAGATATTTTCCATGACTTTTTTCAAGTCTTAATTATGGAATTAAATATAAAAATGTTATTAGGTTTAAAAATTTGTATTGCATAGATTTACAGGGACTTTGTTTAGTCCCTGAAACCACCTACAAATGAAATGTGCTTATGCTATGACTATACAGCTGGGGAACTGAGACTCGGATACCTCAAGTAACATGCCCAAGGTCACGGAGCTAGAAGGAGATGAGAGGAGGTCACCACTTGGTACAGTTCCTGGAGGTACCATGTATATCATAGCCTGTGTAAATGATGCCTCATGCCCTGTAGTGGATGGAATTTGAATTCAGTTTTGATTAACTTCACTCCAAAGACCCCTGCCATGTGAATTGGGAAAAGGTGCCCTTTCCTCCAGCACACGGAGCTTTCCACCAGGGCACAGGGCTTGCCAAAAAGACTGCAAGCCTGCTATCAGCTCCCATTCACTCCTACCTGGTTCCCCTGCGCAGGCACAGACTGCACAGCTATACAGGATGGCCTTGCTTGCTCTTTGCTTCTGCAGGCTAGTTTTCCAGCTCTTCTATTTCACTTAGTAATTTATTTTTTTGAAAACATGCAAATTACAATTGGTTCCCCCATGACTCTCTCTCTTTTGCAATTAGTGCAGGGCCCAGATGTCCAGTCTTCGTTTGCTGAATGGCTTTAAGCAAGTAGCTTAGCCTCAGAGCACAGCTTCTTTACAATTAATAGAGGAGTTAATTCCTAACATGCTCTGTGTTCTGCTCTGAGGGGTAAAGAGTTAAAGTGTAGGAAAGGGCATTGGAGACTATATACCGGTAAACTGTTCCCATTCACCAGGGCTGGGGACAGTGAGACAAGACAGGGGTTGAGGGCACCAAGCATAGCAGGTGTGACCTTCTCCACATCCTGGAGCTCTGAGCAGCTGCTTAGTGATCAGGACACCAGCGCCCATGGAACCCTGCGTTGGCATCACCCATGCCCAACAATCTTCTTTACCACTGACCTCCAAAAGGTTGCTGCTTGTCAGTCAGAGTTCCTTCATCAGGTAAAAATCTGCTTGCCATTCAGGATTTAGGGTTTTCCAAGGAGAATTACAGTTTGGAATAAAAAAAAATAATGCAGTTGCCCTGGCTGGGTGACTCAGTTGGAGCGTTGTCCCGTACACTGAAAGGTTCCCTGCCAGGGCACATGCCTGGGTTGCGGTTCGATCCCCAGTTGAGGCCCATACAAGACGCAACCAGTCGATGTTTCTCTCTGACATCGATGTTTGTCTCTAAACATTAATAAACATATCCTCAGGGTGAGGATTTAAAAAAAGCAGTTGTATGTATGTATGTGAGTTTTTTGCTGAAGTCACACTTACTGTAAACACTATATAAATATAATTTATATGGTAAGCACTGCATTTAAGCTCACCAATTCAGCAACATACCCAAATGTGAATTTTCTTTTTTGTTCATCATTTCAGCTTTTTGTTTTGTTTTATACGTCATTTTATTTGGACGAAGAGGGAAAATTTAAAAATCTTAGAAAGCAATGTTAGGCAGTAGTTGCTTCATGTTTACTTTCTCACAAATAGATATTTTCATAAACAGTGAGGAAACCACTGCCTGGCAGAACTCTGCAGCAGGAGACAGACTACCAGAGAGAGCACTTGGCCTCCAATGGCCCTTGACAAGCGGCAGAGGCAGTTACCACTTTATGTTTGAGTTTCCAAGGCTGAAAGGTGAGGGACACTGACCAGGAGTGGGTTCTGAGCAAGACTATGCAAAATAAGGCTTGTAAACATTAAGAGTTATTTGGGACACCACTATCCATCACTACACATATGTTTTTGTGAGATAACGATAAATAACTAACTGTATATGTAAAAGAAAAACCATAGCCTGAGGAATATATTTGATTCTCATGGAGATATTTGCCATTATTTTAAAGTGATGATAATAACTGCCATGTGTGTAATGATTTACAGCCTACAAAATACTTTTAAATGAACGATTGCATGTGTTCCTGATAGCCCTAAGGAAGTAGGCTCGGGGAGGTCCTTCTGTGTCCGAGATGGAGAAACTCGCACCCAAACTGAGAACTTGGGATGCCCGAGCTGAGCCGAGCGCTTCTTTCCGTTCCTCTGTATGGCAGTAGGAAGATGAATATGTTGTGGTTTACAGTCTCCTGAGTTATTACTAAATTCCCACAAAGTATTTTACATTGGTTTCTATGAATTCAACTTTTAGTTCAAATGGTTGATGGTAGATAAGTTGAAATTCAAAGTGGCATTTTTAGGAGAAACTTCAGAAAATTCTTTCAACAGTAGAGTCAAATTATTCTTGGAAGTTGTGCTTTTACTCAGAGCTTTTACTCAGTATTTGATTTTCCTTTCCACAGATTATTTTGGACATGATTCACAATGCCAGAAGTCCAGTTCACAGTGTCAACCTCTTTTGTCCTCTGTATCCCTCAGGCGAGCTGATCAGTTGGGTGGCACTGGATCACGAGGATCAGGTGCACCATCAGGTGACTGTCCTGGTGACTGACCATGGTTCCCCGCCACGAAACGCCAGCATGGTGGTTTATGTCTTGGTTACTGACATCAATGATAACAGGCCGTATTTCCCGCAGTGTCTCCCTGGAAAGGAATTACACATCAAGGTTTGTGGGGTGAAATAGCCTTGCAATGAGCTCGTAGTATTCTTAGTTATTTGTGCTGAGCACCATCTTGTGGTAAAAAGAGTGAATTTATCAAATCAGTCACGATGTGGCAATGCATTCATTTCTTGAAGACCTAGAAATTGTTCATGTGTCAAAAATAATCCCATTTTTAAAACATAAAATAGTTGTATGTGCTATTTGGGATTTCACATCCAGTTGTTTTTGATTAGTGCAGTTCTCTTCTTTGTATACAAACATAATGGTTCCCAGTTATCAGTAACCCTCAGACAAGGATTGCTTTTCCAATAATTTGCATGCATCTGTCTGTGCAGAGCTCCTTGTGAGCGATTGATACACATCTCTAAGGTGGTAACAATCTGTAGCTCTAAAGTGGGGAGACATATATCCAGAGATTATAAAAGCTGATATTTTGGGGGCAGATGCAGAAACTTCTGATTATATTTATATTATGTCATCATTTTATTTCTGTCATTTTTGTATGTTTTATAATGTACATAATAAATTAGCATATTAGTTCACATACATAATTAATAAATAAATATATCTTGGAGGTACTCATACTTTTTAAAAAATGAATGGGTTGTATGAATAAAATNATTAGCATATTAGTTCACACACATAATTAATAAATAAATATATCTTGGAGGTACTCATACTTTTTAAAAAATGAATAGGTTGTATGAATAAAATGCTTGGAAGCTGTGTTTCCCAAACAATNAATGAATGGGTTGTATGAATAAAATGCTTGGAAGCTGTGTTTCCCAAACAATTGAACTGGATATTCAAATTGTGCTCAGATATGCGCAGGGTATTTAGGAAGTTAATAATTTTAAATTCATCTTCCAAAGCCATATTATAGAAAATATTACCAAAACAAAATATACTATTATTATGATTTTAATAATGTCATTAAAATATCCCATGGTTTAACTGCTCAGTAGGACTTTTAAACATGAAGTTCAGCTCCACATGTAAATTTCAATGTTCTAGGAAATTTTCTATTAATTATCTTTCCTATATGAGGTATGTTTCCTGAAGTAAAGATTTATGTTTATCTTTAGCATATTTTAGACCTTAACAACAACCTTTAAAAAAAAGTCCTGAGGTGATGAATGAAAAGATGCTAGAATTCTTAAAATACATTCAAAATCCAAGATTGTTTAGTTATTTTGATTCCCTTCCCCAACCCCCAGAATTAGTTCAAATGCTACAGATAGTTTGTTCAAACTGAGTGAAATATTTAAATTGTAATGTGGATTTTTTTCAGGGATTTACACCCATATAATTTTTATATGGTTGACATTTGAATTATATGGTTTTATATGGTTGACATGTAGATTTTAAAATAGTTTTTAGCATGCTTAGTTGTAGTGTGTTCTTTCACTTAAAGTTCATTTTTTTTTCTTTTAAAAATTTTACCGAGAAATAATGTAAACTGTTTATTTTATTGACAGGTTCTAGAAGGTCAGCCAGTAAATATGTTGGTCACAACTGTGTTTGCAAAGGATTTTGATGAAGGAAACAATGCAGAAGTTACATATTCAGTATCTTCAGGTAAAGGTCACTGCCCATAAAGGATTATGAGATTTTAGAATTTCCTCTTTTTTATCAACTGTCTCCTTCTGTGAACATTGAAAATAACACCAAATTACAAACAAAATACATTTGTTACTGTCTAGAATCACGTTTATATTTAAAAAATTAAAAGTTTAGTGAAAAATTGTAGTAGTTTTCTGTGCCCTAAATAGGAACCAACCCACCAATCATCCACCTTACTTGAATAATTTTCAATAATCTGAAGTATGTATCAACCTTTTTGAAAGAGAATTAGTAGTTAGTGGATAGAAAGTGATATTAATATAAAAATATGATTATGAACACTAAGCACCTGTGAATCTCTATGAAGACTGAATATTCTTAAGGTTAGAGTAAAGCACGCGTAGAAAATGTCACATATGTACATGATGTATGTGTAGGTGGGAACTTTATTGAGACAGGCGTGCTTTTGTGTTTTGTGTTTTTATTTTATAATATACAGACCTCAGATGTGTTCCAGTGATTAACTTTAGTTGACATTGTGTTTTACATCATCTAAAAAGAAGTTCAGTGCTTCCTCATGTTTGGCAGAAACATGGGAAAGCAAGAGACAACAGTGCCCTTACCTGCAGATAAATTATCTACATAAAAACCCAAAAGATGCTACGACAAACCATTGGAATTAATAAGATGAAAAATTTCTGGGATCAGTGTCAGCATACAAAATTCACTAGCATTTCAAAAACTAAGCAGGTTTTCAAAGATCTCATTTGCCGTGAAGTTTAAGCTTTAAGAACCTTCACTTGCACAGGCTCTTCAAAGGTAGGGCTGAGAACCAGTGAGTGATTTATATTTGTAATACTGTTCTATTTTTCTTAAAAAGGGACCCTCAACTTATATGTTTCAAAGCTTCTGAAATCCTGATCATCTTGATTAGAGCACAGGAAGGAAAACTCCAGTAAAAGATGTTTGAGACCTTTATGTAGAAAATTATAAAATATTAACAAAGACATAAAATAAGAATGAAATAAAAGGCCTGTCATGGTCCTCATGGGGCAGGTTCGATGCCCGAAAGGTGACACGGTGGACTGTCCAGAGGTAATGAGCCTGCAGCAGATCCACGTTTGCGGACACCTTTTTCTGTGTCCGATTCTCTGCTTCAGAGATTCACTCTTCTTTTTTATTTTTCCTCCCATTTGTAACCACCCAGCTTTCTCTCCCCATCCCCTTAGCCTGTTCTAATCTGGTCCTAGAGGAAAGAAAAACTAGCTTTGCTGGCGTGCATTCAAGAGGTCAGTTAGTCCATGAGACCTATGTATCTTTTTTGTTGTTCCTGTTTTAATTTGGGCTGGGAAGAGAACATATAAAACTTAAATGGATAAGGAATTGCTTCTTGTGGATGAGCAGAGAAAGTGGTTTCTTGAGATGGAGTCTACTGCTGGTGAAGATGCTGTGAAGATTGTCAAAATGACAGCAAAGGATTTAGAATATTACATAACCTTAATTGAAACAATGGCAAGGTTTGAGAACACTACTCCACTTTTGAAAGAATTTCTCCTGTGGGTAGAATGCTATCAAGTAGCGTCACATGCTACAGAGAGATCATTCATGAAAGGCAAAGTCAATCGATGCAGCAATTGTTGCCTTGTAAGAAATTGCAAGTCACCCCGGCCCTCAGGAACCACCACCCTGATCATTCAGCAGCCATCGACATCAGGCAAGACCCTCCCCCAGAAAAATATTACAACTTGCTGAAAGGTTACATGATGGGTAACATTTTTTAGCAATAAATTATTACTTAATTAAGGTATGTACATTTTTAGACATAATGCACACGTAATAGACTACAGTATAGTCTAAACATAATTTTCGTATCCAGGAAAGGATAGCAAAGAAAAACATATGAACGTGAAATAAAGATTGGTCATGAGTTGATAATTATTGAAGCTATGGGATAGTCACATGAGAGTTCATTTTATCATGTCTACTTTTTTATATGTTTGAAAATTCCACACTAAAATTTTTAAAAATCTGTTGTTTCTTGTGTATATTTTCAATATTATTTTTATATTCATTCTTTCACAGAACTTAAGGCAAATAACATCTTCCAAATGATCGATCATAGATATATTTGTATTAATTCTGTTTTCTGCATTGTCGAGTAACATTAATTTCTTAAATTTTTTGTGTATGTGTATAGAAGATGGGTCTGATCACTTCAAGATTGATGCCAACAGTGGTGAAATAAGAACAACCACAATACTTTTGTATGATTATAGATCTTCCTACAGGATGACTGTAATTGCCAGTGACCAGGGAGTGCCTCCTCTTCATGGACAGGCAGTTATTAATATTCAGGTAATGTTCTGTCATCACCATAACATGTAGAAGGATGTTCTAAGGTTCTGTTTGATTATTATACAACTGTATAGGCTGAAGATACAGTAAATATATAAATACTGTTTTTAGAGAGTATGCACGTACATGTGTGTCTTTTTATTATCACTAGAGAAATGATTAGACTCAAATAACTTTTTATTTGAACTTTGAACAGTTCCTGACAAGGCACTCACCTTCCTCGCTGTACGGGCATTTGTGTTGTTTTGGTTTAATAAACAAAAAAATGTCTTTTCCTTTACTTTTTTCTAATTGCAGAGACCTGGTAAATTTGCAGGAGTAACTTGTATGTAAACAAATGGTCAATCACATAGTTTTAAAGATAATTTTTAAACTTAGAAAAGTCACTTGGGATCCATGCTCTAAAGCTTTACTCTAATCAGAATGAGAAAACAAATTGTGGGAAGTCTTCATAGTAGGAAAAAAGTTACACCAACGAGTCAAAAATAAGATGACTGTGCGTAGTCATTTTTCTTTGTTCATGCACATGATACTCAGCAATACTAATATTGGTATGTATAAAAAATAAGAAATATATCCCCAAGAGTTCTGTTTCCAAATTATATTCTTTATTGATTGAGGATATGTGTATTAAGAGAAAATTCTATATAATAATTCCTCAATTCTCTGGTTTCAGATAAACAAAGACACATGATACATAAATATATACAGATGTTGTCATTATGGATATATTAGTCTCTAGGATTTAGAGCAATTTGGAGAACTAAGTATTCCACATTCTCATTAAAGAATCACAAGACTACAGTTCGGCTTATCCAAATATAGCACAGCCTCACCAATATATCATTTCACACATTAGAACAGATGGGAAGTGGAAAATTGTGTGCTTTCTCATCTCCTAGATACTAATTTTCAGTCATCAGAGGCACACTGGATTTATATAGTAAAAGTACATTTTATTACCAATTAACATATGTATTTCACACAAATAGAAAGAATTAGCTTCCAAAGTAACATCATCACATGTACTGATTCAACTGTTAAAAAAATGCACCACATTAACAGCTCCTTTTAATTCTTGTTTCAGGTGATACCGCTATCCAAAGGGAGAGCTACCATTCCTCAGAATATCAGACATTTAGTTATACCGGAAAACTTGAAGCCCACAAAAATAATGAGCTTGATAAAGCCACCTGATCACTTTCAACAACATCATAATGGAAAGCTACATTTTACTATCTCTGCAGATGACAAGGATGGTCACTTTGAGATCGACAGCTCAACGGGGGACTTGTTCCTTTCTAAGGAACTTGATTATGAAATGACATCTCATTATCTTTTCAGGGTGGTCACTAAAGACCATAGCAGAAATCCTCCCCTGTATAGCACAGTCTTCCTCAGCATCGATGTGGATGACCAGAACGACCACTCCCCTTCTTTCCAAGATGAGTTCATTGTGATAAGCGTAGAAGAGAATGTCCCTGTAGGAACCCTGGTGCACGCCTTCAATGCCAAAGATGGAGATGGCAGTTTTTTGAACAGCAGAATACAATACTTCATTGAATCCCACCACCCCGGAATCAATCCATTTCTCATCCACCCCTCATTTGGCACCTTGGTCACTGCATCCCCCCTCGACAGAGAGAGGGTTCCGACTGTTGTCCTGACAATCACTGCATCTGATCAGGCTGTGAATGTGACAGACCGGCGACTGAGATCGCTAATGGCCAAGGTAGTGATTTTGGATGTAAATGACCACAGCCCCACTTTTAGGTCTTTCCCCATCGCTCATGTCAGAGAGGATGCCACAGTGGGCTCCTTGGTGCACCACGTAACTGCTCAAGATCCAGATGAAGGAAGGAATGGAAGAGTAACATACAGCATACTCTCAGGAAATGAAAACATGGCCTTTATGCTAGATGAGTCATCAGGTATTTGTCACTGTCGATTAAAGCCTCCGATCGCTTGCTTACATTTATCTATTTTCATTTTCCTCTGTTAACATTATGGTTCCAACTGAATAAACTTTAAAAAATGTGACTTGATTTTGCGTTTAACTTATATATGTGATAGGCACAGAGGATGTATTCAGAGAACCAACTGTCATTGGCCTGTTTGTTAGTATTGACTATGCTTGGTAGCTGGCTCACATTTCATGGGATGAATCTATAGAAGCAAACTTCTTTACCCCCATTGTGGTCCTCACAGGGTAGGAGATGGTACCGAAAGCACAAAAAGATAAAATATGACTAACCAACATTATTCAAATGCGTTAGTATGGAAATGTATCTTTAAGATCATACAAAAATACATTTATAAGTAGTTGAAAATAATGTATTTTATTTTTTATTTATTGATTTGAGAGAGAGAGAAGAAGAGAGAGAGAGATTTGTTGTTTCGCTTGTTTATGCATTCATTGGTTGATTCTTGTATGTGCCCTGATTGGGGATTGAACCCGAAACCTTGGTGTATCGGGACAACACTCTAACCAACTGAGTACCGAGCCAGGGCAGAAATAATGTATTTTTAAGTGGTTGGATTGATTTGGGCCTAAAGCCTTTACTTCTCATATCAACTGTACCATTTTATATTTTTGCAGAAGCTTTTATTCACTGTCAAGTACTCTGTAGAAATGCCAGTCACTGTTACTTTACTTGTCTTGCTATTACCATGTTGCCAGTTAACATGTACTAAAAGTTTTGATGTAGTTTGATGTATAAAATGTCATTCTTGTGAAAATTCGACATGAACTTTCCTCAACCTGAGAGATGGACTGCCATCTCAATCTCTAAAAAAATAAAGTCATTTCTGCACAAGCCTTAGAAAAAAATCTCAGATGTATGCCAATTGGCCCAGCTATTAGAAAGACCATAATTTGGAATGGGACTGAATGTGTAGGATTTGGAAGTCATGATTATAGTCTGGCTATATACTGTTGAAAATTTTTATCAAAATATTTATTGAATCCTGTACATATGGTTTCATTCTGAGGGATGCGTGAACGCCACCTAAAAGCCCAGCTGACAGAGAGATAGTCCAGGCCTAGTTACTGATTACAGCTAGAGCTGGGGTCTCCAAGGACCTGTTTCAACTATGCTTAAAATGTTTTCCACAATGGCTATGGAGGTCTATGTTAAAGAAGAGGGATAAAATTAGAACTTTGTCTCAATAATATAGGTCTCATGAATCTTGAAAAATTGCAGTGGCTGTTTCAGTTGAGACATTTTCCAAAGACATAAAATGGTAATTGCTGAATGCATTCATGTGAGATGGGCTATTGTTTCTCTCACGAGGTTCATATTTCTTATAAAGAAGACACAGTGAATTTTTCAATGGCTTTTGTCTGTGCAATATGAGATAGTAAGTAATTACTAGAAAACTGTTTTATAAAATAGAAAGCAGTAAACCTCTTTAATTATTTGCAGAAAAGTTCTTACAGGTTGAGCATGTGCTAGAGAAGCAAACAGCAGTCCTACAAGAAAAAAATATGACAATTGGACTCAGAGGGCAGCTATATGTGTGCAAGTCTTTATAACACTTTGCTTATATGAGTTTATATGTTTCAGTGGCAATAGGATGGAGACACTTGTTATCATGAAATTTTTTGTCTGAGTTATAAAGTCTTTGTTAATAAAATGACAGTTACAGAGTAAGTATAAAGAGACTACAGCTCTTTGACAAAAGCTAAATACATTAAAGACTAAATATCTTAAACAATGTAGCCATACTCATTTTTTTGTAACTTGGTCACTTTAAATACGAATTGTCATTTGACCTGAAGATGTATACTGTTAAAGCACAGATATTTTTAAAAGTGAAGGTCCATGTTGGATAGAGAAATCATTTTGATGTAAATAATAGTATATGATTCACAGTAAATAATAGTATATGATTGATTGTTTCTGAATTTTCATTCATCCTTAAAGTTTAAATTAGGGTGACTTTTATGATGAAAAATGTTATTGTTTTATTTTAGATAATATATAAATTTAAAGTTGGTCTAATAAGATTTATTATTTAACAAAGAAAGATTCTGAATTTTTAGCAAGTTAGATGAGTTAGACATAGAGTGAGCTTGACATTTCTAAAGAATATTTACTACATACTACTTTTCTCCACCTGCAAACAGGCTTACTAACTACAGCTTGTTCTTTGGATTATGAAGTGAAAACTCAGCACGTTCTGACCCTCCTGGCCCTGGATGACGGCGCCCCGGCACTTTCTTCCTCCCAGACTTTGACAATTACTGTTCTTGACGTAAACGATGAGGTCCCAGTATTTAAGCAGCACCTGTATCAAGCTTCAGTTAAAGAAAACCAGAATCCAGGGGAGTTTGTCACAAAGGTTGAAGCTATGGACAGAGATTCAGGTAATTTAAAATATGGAAACTGTATAGTTAATGCTAGGAACAAAAACTGACGTAATTGAAACTAGTTATGTCCCAGAAAAATGAGACACTTGCGAGTCATCTCAAACGTCTCATACCTCTTTTTAAAAATTCACATTAAAAACCGTATCAAAGTGTAAAGATAATGTGTGCTTTTATTTAGCATTTTCTTATATCAATCTTTATCGTTATTTATAGTAGAGTGATATACACCTAATTAACACATAATTTATTGATTTTTACTTGATAATAAGCAGAAGTATGACTAAATATCACATATTTTTTTAGAGTATAATGGATACTTTGAATACAGGAAGGCAAATAGTTATTTCTCTATATAGCATAATGGAAGAGATAGGATGCTGATGTCAGGCTGCCTGGGTTTGAATCCTAGGACTGCTCTTTACTTAGGCTGTATAACCTTTAACAAGTTACTGAGCCTCTCTGTTCCTCTGTTTGCTTATCTATAAAATGGGGATAATAATAATGCCTGGTTTATAGTTCTAAGTATGAATGAGTTATCACATGGAAAGAACTAAGACCAGTGTCTGGCACAATGAATGGTCAAAGGATGTTAATTTCTATTATTATTATATTATTACTATTATTAATGTCAACCGGTTGATTCTGATGTAAATGGTTACTATTGCTAAGAATTTGTAAATTTCTAGAATTTTTGGAATTACTTTTCCATATCACTGACTTTTTTGGCATTTAAGTTTCAGTAATTTTAATAATATCCTGTTTTTATTTTAAACAAAAGAATTAAAAAATTTATAGTGAAGTATTTGCCATTAACAGCATATGTCAAAATTTTCCACCTGAATTAATATGTATAGTTTAATAAGCCGGTCTTCTGAGATTCACATTTGTATGTAGCAAGTGGCATTACATAATCAATATAATATTTTGTTCTTTTCTTATAGGGCAATTAATAGATGTTTCTATGGAGAAATAGTATTAATAATAGCATGCTTCTAGTGTTTCAAAGGAGTAAAAGATACATTTCCTTCAGCTTTTAATCTAAATTGTATACCATTCAGATGCTTTGCCCTTTTGGAAAACATCACCTTTTAATGAAATGCATTTTACATGAATTTGGATGTGATGCTACAAAAACTTTCATTTTAAGGACTAACCTAAATCTCTCTTTTGACCAGAGCGGGGCAGTGTGATCAAACAATTTTTCTTACTGTGCTCCAAGACACAGAACTGGAGCATGCTAACAATTGCTTGTCCCAGCCCCTGCTTAAAGAATTGATTTAGCACATTTCCTACAGCATGGTGTTTAGGGTGCTAGAAGCAAGGGAAAATACACGTAAGCTTTGTGTTTCAGCATAACTCTGGTTCAATAAAGTTCTTTCAGTGTGTGCGCTGGTGTAAGCTGAGCAACACAGGGCCGGGGGCACCACGGAAAGCACTTCCTGAAGCCGCAGACACATGCCAAGCCTGCCGCTGATGTGCAGTTGAGCAGTCATTAAAGCATTCAAATGCTTCCTCCCCTTGACCTTACTTTTAGCTTCTTAATTTCACTTTTTGTAATAGACTCTACTGAAAGGATCTCTTTTGCTTTAAATGTTTGAAGAGGGAGGAAATAATTTCTCTCAAGTTTGCGTATATCAACTAAAGATGATGACCATACATATGCTTTCTGATTTTTACTGTCAAGTTGCCTAGTGTTCATGTTACTTTCTTTTGGAATCAATAGTCCGCAACCTGTTACTTGAATTGAATGTTCATCATTCTAGAGATTATGGCTTACTGGATGGGGAATTTAGATGTCAGATTATTGTTTTTCTGGCTGTGCATTTATGGATGCTTGAAACACACATTTAGCATCTTCATGAGTCTCATGTACCTTCACATGTTTCAGAGACAATTTCAGTTTACTGGAGATCTCAGTGTTTTTAATGAGGCCAGATCTGTTAAACAAGTGGTTATGTAAATGCATGTGAATATGTGTGTAAGCTTGTGTGTATGCTTGATTTTGAAATATTTTTCCTCAATTTTTATTTATTTATTTGCTTGTTGGGTTAAAACAATGAAAAAGGATTATGCATGAGAATTAAATGACGTACTCAAAATTTTAACGTACTGGCATAGTGTTGGAATTTATGAATGGTTTATTTTACAGTATGTATTTTTAAAAATACTATAGCATGACTTAATACCAGAAAGCTTAACATATGTTTTCTAGCATTCTACGATGTAGTTTTAAAAAATGTCAGCCTGAAGTGTTGGCCTTCAAAACCCATGGGAATTCCAGCACTGAATGTTTATGATGTATGACTCACACTAGTTCTAACAGGAGTTTTTTCTTATATTAAAAGAGAAAAACAACTACCAGGTTTTAACTAAGATATTAAAACTCCTACAGTATTTGGTGCCACCAACAAGAGCTCCATTGTTAGTGAGAAAAGACCTTCTCCCAGGGGCCCCTCTCCACTGCTGAGAGGAAAGGGTGCCCCTCCAGGGAAGATGACTTTACTCTTGGCTGATACATTTACTTCATAGTGGCAAATATAAAATAATTTAACAGTACATTGCCATACAAAAGTGTTGAATTCTACAATGAGATCTTATTCTCTATTCCATAAAAATGTATTCCCCATCCGGGTTTATCTTGAATAAATTCTACATTTGGATTCCTGAAAAATGTCTCACGCTAACGGAACAATTGCACCTAACATCCTACACTTGGAGCAAGGGAGCAACACAGCGGTGACAGAATTTCATCTACTTCATGGGGTCTAAGGCACCATTAATTGTAAAATGCATTTCATTTTAGAAATGTTAAAATGTGAAAAAAATGTGTCTTAGAATTAATGAAATAGTAAACAGAAATAAAAAGAGAGAGAGAAAAGACCACTCATAGCCTCACTCATCCAGAGAGAATCACTGTTGAAATTGATATGGAGTCTTATTTCATTTAATTCATGGTATTGTAATTATATAATTGTTCATTTGTCTGCCTGCCCGTTAGGCTGTGAACTTCTCATGGATTCAGGACGCAGTTTGTTCACTTTTACCCGAGGCCCCTTAGACAGTGCAAGCTATGACTTAGGAGCTCAGTAAATATGTTTGGCTATGTGATCTGAGAAACTGGGACATCTGTGAAATAAGCTGCTTCAAGTTGCCTTCACTCTTCACAACCCGTTCATTTACTTACTCCTTCATTCAGTCAACCAGGCGTGATCCTAGTTTTGCTTCAGAAATGTCTGAGCTGCATGGCATTGTACAGTTGAGGGATTACATGAAAAATGATCTTCTTGAAAAGCGTATCTGAAATGAGCATTCCCCTGGTCAGAATTCTTTATTAACCCTTTGCGGTCGTTTGTCTACTCTCAGCCACCAAAGCTTTTTTACCGTTCCAGTCGTATGTCTGCTCTCAGCCAGCACAGCAAGGAACCATGTGAATCTTAACTCTATTCATCCATGTGTCAGTTCATAATTTCTCTGAAAGCTCTTAATTCCGACCAGTACGACACCCATGTCCAAATTTAATACGACTGCAAAGGGTTAATTCCCCACGGTTTTGATGGTAAAGTCCTATTCTCTTTTAGCTTAACAACCAGGCATGTTATGAAATGACTTCAGCTTTCCTCAACTCCTATCACTCTCCCACCCTTTACTCAAGGACAGGCTTCTGCAAACATTTCTCTGTAAAGGGGAGATAGTACATGTTTTAGGCTTTGCAGGCCATACACGTCTGTGTTACTCAACTCTGTCACTGCAGCAAGACAGCAGCAATAGAATTTACATAAAGAAGTGAGTGTGACTGTGTTTCAAGGAAACTTTACAAAAGCAGGGCTGGGCTGTAGTTTGCTGACCGCTGGTCTGATACACGTATCTGTTTAACACATCTAAGTTAAAACACTTGCTGCTTTCTGCTCATCAGTTCATGTCATCAGAGCAGCAGATCAATGCGATGCTCTCCTGGATGCCAAGGTGATCAGTATCTTTGCCAAGTAGATGGTGGCCAATAGTAGAAGAGTTTACCCTGTAGATGTGCTGTGTTGTTCCTGCTGGGTGAAAGCAAATCGCTTCTGATAGTCCTTATAAATTAGTGTAGAGTGTTGGTTTTCAGAAGGTGGTCCCCAGGACCAGTGGCACCATCATCTATTGTCTACACAGAGACAACTACCAGAGGGCTTTTAAAGGATGCCGGTGTTCCTCTAAAAAAATGCCTTTCCAAAGGTCTTTATGAAGGAGAGGCCTCTGAACTCAGGAAATGCATGTCACACATGGTAAATCCATCCTAACATTCCCATTTCCTTAAGCTTTTGGATTCTTTATAGTATATGAGGGAAGGTCCAGCCTCTCAGCCTCAATGATGGTAGGCCAGTATGAATCCAAGCCAGTCAAAGAAACTGTCAAGAGACATAGCTGTATGAGCTAACGCAATTGATAGTCTCTGATAAGCACACCAGATCAATAAGTCCATCCTGAATCAAAATTATATTTTACTTTTTTGGATCTCACATCCTTGGAAAGGACATCCACACATATTCCCCAGGTTTATTCCAATATAAGTTAGGAAACTTTATACACTCTTTTGAAACTGTAAGCTGTCCCTGACGGAGTGAGATTTGTACACGACTGCCTGCAATATGTTGAGATCTGACTCCAGTTATGGCTCTTCAAGTCAATAAGCATCCCTTTGCATGAAGTCACGCCTTGTATCTGTCACTCAATTTGGGTCCAATCTTCAGGAAGATTAATTTTAGGGCTCCTGTGGAAGCTTTCTGGTGGTGTAACTATGCTTGAGCTGCGAGTTTAAAGCCTCAGCGTGTAATTTTCTTTTTGTAAGTTCCTAGTACACTCAGAAACAGCCATCTAACATCATAGTCCTTTTTGCTGTCATATGGCCCAAGTCAGCACCATTTGGTCCTCTAAGGATCTGAGTCCTTTAATAGTCACTTGATTGCAGTCAAGCACAGGTGATAATTTAATGGATTGTGATATCATTGCACACTTGTTACTAGTTACTAGTTACTAATACTAAGTTACTAGTATTCCATTTCTCATGGGCGAGGAACTCAGCAGTGCATTCAAGGCCAAAGACATAATCAAACCAGTCTCAGAGCTCCTGCTACCTGGGACCCACTGCTGGTGCCAAGCACTGTAGATCAGTCCAGGGCACTCAGGAAAACCAGTGTTGGAAGGCTGGGTAAGCAAAAAGGGACTCTTGAAGTAACCCAGGAAAAATACTGGAAAACAAGGAGACGAGGTTGAGATGTCAGAACCTAGGAAGGAAATGAGAGCAGGAGCCTTGCAGAGCCTGATCCTAGGAGTACCAAAGAGACTGAAAGCTGCGGGCACTTGCTGCAACCAGGCAAAATGGCATTGCTGACAGTAAGCAAACAGGAAGGAAGTCCTACCTCCTCTCCTCTGACTCTGTCTCCCTTGGATGTCCCTTTAGGGCCAACACTCTTTCTTCCCTCTTACCCATGAAATCCTACTCATCTTTAGGGTCTCAGCTTGTACAAAAGGCAACTTATACTTAGCCATGTCTTATCCTCTGGAATCGCAATTGCCTGCTTACTTACCTATATCCAGTGCTATACTGTAAGCACTGTGAGGGTGGAGAATTTGTCTTCTTGCCATCACTTATATTCTTAGCACCTGGCATGGTACCTTGTCACCTACTATCACCCTCTCTACATGTTTATTGAATGAGATAATTAATGAACACACTGTCTACCTGTGATAAGTCTTCCCTGATCCACTTCCTCAGTGATTTAAGATATTTTACCACATTGTCTGTAATTCATTGATTTCATTGTCTCCCCCACTAGAGGGTAACTCTGAGGGTCAGGATAATTACTTATTATTCAGTGGCACCTTTCCAGTGCCTGGCAATCAGTAGATGTGCATTATATAAAGGAACACATGAATGGATGCAGGCATGAATGAATAACTGAATTAAACTACCAAATAACCGGAGCTCAGTGCAAACACATGGTGTCATCTGTTTATGAGTGGCAACTGAAGTCAGTGGGTTGGGAAGGAGGTAGAATGAATTCCTTTTTCCTCCTTCCCTCCTTCTCTCTCTTCTTTCCCTCTCACCCTTCCTCTCTCTTTGTTTATTTTTATTTTTATTTTTAAAAAAAAATCAATCAGAAATATCTGAAGGTAAGAACTAAAAATGACCAGTTGATTTTGTAACCAGAAGGTCATGGATGACTGTAGAAAGAGTAGCTTGGTATGGCAGTGGTTTCAAGCTAGTTGCAGTGAATGTGTAGTATTTTTTTTTTAAGACTCTTGGCTATAAAGAATATGAAAAAATTCTTGATATTTATAGCTAGAGAAGAATATATAATTTTAGGGAAAAAAATTAATGAACAAGACTAGAACTGACAGAAAACTTCCAAGGAGAATATTTGAAGAATTACTTTTCCATGGAGATAGAAAGCGCAAGGTTAGAGTTGAGCACAGAAGCAGAAAGTTGGGGGAGTTTTTCCCCAATGCCCCCATTTTACCTGGGAAATAGGAAGGGGAAGAATCTGTGAGAATGAGCCAGGAGGTATTAGGGTGGGAGACACGAATGGGAGAGAGGCGCCCAAGGGGATTTGGGAAGATCACCAGATGACAAGGGCATTTCAGTGGCCTCAACCTGTGCTGTTGTGACATTTTCTCCAGCTCCAGTTATCTGCCGGATATTCCAGGAAGGCAGAGAGATGATTGGAATGATCTCGGGTTGGAGATTTTCTGGTCATCTTTGGCAAAAAGCCAAAGGACCTGAGGAAATTTGCAGGGTTGCTAAAGTGAGAATTCATGGGGCTGGCCTGGATAGGAAAAGAAATGAATTGAGGAGAAAGGTTATCCTAGAGTGGGAGAAGTTAAGATGTCATAAGGCTGTAAGTCTTGAGGTCTGAGAGCAGACGGATGTTTGTGTGCACAGATGAGTGCACACGTGCACACACACACACACACCCCTTCACTCGGTGTATGTCATACATGTATCACAGAATAGTTCAGATCCAGATTTCCAGATTGCTTAATGAGGTAATGGAATTCTACTAAATAATCTCTTTTCTTTTCTTAGTTTTCAAGTCTGGTGATGCTCCCTTTGTTCTGGTGGATTATAAGGGCGTGTGGAGGAAGTGGCAGGGAACTGAGCTCTAGAAGAGCCCTCGTAGAGCACTTTAAATTTGTCTCCATTTTTTAAGTTGTGAGGGTGTGAAGTTTGGAGTGTGAAAATGAATGCATGCAAACTATAGTTATAAACAAAGGTCTTATTTATCTTCAATATTACACTAAGAGGGTTGCAGACGACTGGTTTAAAGCTATATTGAATAATAGAAATAACAAAATCAGAAAGTTTCTAAAAAGTCAGGGAAAAATAGGTTATTGTGACAAAACACGTTAGAGAACAATGGGAGGAATGGAAGATATAAAGATTTGAGTATATGTTTAAACATTTAAAGGTATTTATAGGTTTGACAAGCATTGGGAATGAAAAGTATATAATGTGTAATATATAATACTATGTGTAATATAGAATAAAATCACATAGCGAGCAAGTTTATTTCAAAAATAAAAGGCCCCCAAATTAAAAGGTGTTGTCTCCATGTGCGCTCCATGCAGGCAGAGGCCCTACCTGTTTGATTTACCACCGTCTCCTTGGCAAACTGGCACTGTGTTTGTCACCTGATTTTGCTCACCAAATACTTGAGGAGCAAGCAAAGTAGATATAAGATGGTATTGCTCCCGTTGTCATAATGTAAGAAGAGATAGGAATAACAAATTTTTAACAACCTAGAATTTTTAGAAATTCTGTCTTGGCTAGAGGAGAGATTATGTGATCATTATGAGGTCAAAGTAATCTCTATGATATTAAATAATAATTAATATAATAATATGCCTAAAGCGATCATTATGAGGTCAAAGTAATCTCTATGATATTAAATAATAATTAATGTAATAATATGCCTAAAGCCTGATGAGAGAATGAAATATTTTGGTGACCTCTGGCCATTGCATATCAAATGTATTGATCCTATTTTATTAGACTTTTAAAACGGCAGTTAAATAACTGCAGATTATCTCAAATACCTTTTTCCTTCCTGGGGACATGGTAAGAAGACATGTATATTTATTCTTATATAAAACCAGCATTATATTCCACTCCTTCCAGCACTCAGTCCTATATTACATTCACTAGATCATAGTGAAGCTTATATTTTAGGACTAGCAAAGATTTATCATTGAAGTTTTTCCATTAAGGCCAAAGAACAGTATTTCATCTTTTATTAAAGTATAAATCATATATTCTAAGTACTATATCTATGCCTAGATTCTTGTCAGTTAAGAAAAGAACATAGAAAAATGACTGAAAGGAACTTGTGTACAGTGCAACTAAGCTTCCATGCAAAGGGTAAACCCATTCAAGGTAATGGTATGAACGGTCTTCACAGCCAGTGATGGAAATGGCCTGATACTTTTCTCAGGGGAGAAATGGAACCATAAAGAATATGGGAAGATTTCTATTCAAAATGTGTAATAACGCAGCACCACATTTCTCACTCCAGAGAGGAGACTGAATACGAAATAGAAAACAGACCAAAAAATATGCAGAGAAGCACCTCCATGGTTCGCTTTCTGCGCCGGAGAATGAACAGGGTGTCATAACTGAGCGCAAGCTTTGAAATAGGGGGTCAGTCTACAGAAACTGTCCTTTGCCTCTCAAGCCTACAATTATGTCATTAAGTCCCAATCAGGGGTGTTAGAAGGAGTAATTAGGAATATGTTGGAGAATTGCACACTCTTTATAAGAAATTTTTTATGGGAGGGAAAAAATCTTAAGCATTCACTATGGGGAAGTCTCATAAGACTTTTGAAAATCAGGCATTTTAGCTCATGAGGCTTTTATTTAGCAGAAACAGCCAAAAGAGTTGTTTTGGTGTGGTTTTCTTAACCTTAACTTGAAGGTTGTTTAAGCGTCTTGCCTTTTTCATCCATCACCTAACATGTTCATAGGGAAAAGAATAGGAAAACAGACAAATGGATTCCAAAGGGATACTTGCTAAAATTTTTCTTTATATTTCCCTTAAGGAATCAATGCCAAGCTTCGGTTTGAAATCATGCCAGGTGCATCGTCTGGGCTGTTCGAGATAAATGCTGACACTGGAGAGGTGGTGACAGCCACCACACTTGACAGAGAAGTTCAGGAAGTCTTCACCCTCCGAGGTAAGGGATCCCTTGACTCTGCTAAGCAAAAACCAGAAATGGGCAGCAGGAGGTTTAGCGTTGAAATGTTACATTTAAGTAGGGCGTCTTTAAATAAACCGTTACTGCGTCAGTGCCACCTGGCTGGTTTGGTCAGATGCTGTCTAGTTAGGGCAGTGTATTTTAGGTATGAATTAATGGCCTCAATCTGTGCCTTTTTTCACTCCGTGCCAGTTCTTGTTCGAGACGGGGGAGCCCCTTCATTGTCTGGCACCACGACCATTGTCTGTGCTGTGGAAGATGAAAACGATCATGCTCCGAAGATTACTGCCCCCACGCGTGACATAGAGGTTCTGGAAAACCAAGAGCCGGCAGTTGTCTACACTGTTTTGGCCTTCGATATGGATACTGGCAATAATGGAGCTGTCACGTTTCATATAATTGGTAAGTATTTTCTTTATTAAAATTCCCCCCGATACCAACCGAGTTGACACACACCGTATGCTGATCATTCTGTGTTTGGTGTCTATCGCAATGTCTGTGAGATACGCACCCAGGAAGAACTGATTGGTGCCCTGGGCTTCCTCTCCACCTCCTTCCTACAGCCATCTAGAACCACTGTCTCCCAAATTCTCTACAAATCTGCTGTCAACAACTCTTGTAAATTGTTCTATAGGGCAATACATTTTATTGCTCTAAATTATTTAGTATTAGTGAATGTACTCTCTCTAAAAATCAACGGAAAAAATATCATAGGGTAAGGATTAACAGCAACAACAAAAAGTAATAACACAAAAAACCGTATGTCTTGCAGAGATAACTCATTTGGTATTGTGAAGAACACTTTTCCATGAACCTCAGCAAATTCAGACACCAATTTTAAACGAATTGGGTAATTTGTATATGCTAGTTCGTTACCTCGCTTTTTAAACTAACATACTATGTAAATCTTTCATGTCAGCGAATACACATTTCTAAAGATGTCTCTTATGCACATGCATGCCGTCATTTATTTCACTATTCCCCTTCTGTGATCATTTAGATATTGAACAGTCTTACTAGTATAGAAATGCTGTGCTGAACAATATATTATTTCCTTATGATAAAGGCACTATCATAGTGCCATCCTGAAGAATAGTACTCCCTCAGAGTGACTCAGTGAGCCCACGTCTTACCCCTTTCCCTCAGGTTGCAGTGGAACAAATATTTCCCTCCTCTCTAAACTCCACCTTTCTAGAACTTCCCAAACTATCTGTGGTTAAGGACCAAGGTTTATATTTTTTAAATTTCCAATCTTTTGTGACTGATACTTTTGTAAAATACAATAAGTATGAATTACTGCGGGAAAGAATCAAGGCATGCAAAATGCAAACCCCAATTTTTAAGAATTGTTATTGTAATCGGCAGATATAAAATCATTCTCTTGAGTTGCTATAAAATTTTCTAAATGCTTATTCTCAATTTCTGTATTTATCTGGGTGAGGACCAATGACAAACAATTTCCAGACTGCCACCTGTCCCCTTCCACTGCATCAGAGACATTCCTTATGCTCAGTCACTCCTCTTTTCCTGTATTGCCAACGTTTCTCCTTCTATTGGTTTTCCCATTGCTTTTTTAAAAATTTTATTTTTGTTTAAAATATTACAGATGTTTTTTTTCTCCCCAATGACCCATTCCACCCCGCCCCACCCCCTCTCCAGTCCCTCACCACACCATTGTCTGTGTCCTTGGGTTATGCATAGATGCATATAGGTTCTTTGGTTACTCTCTCCCCTTCCACCCACCCACCCCCGTACTTCCCTCTAAGATTCATCAGTCTGATCCATGCTTCCATGTCACTGAATCTATTCTGTTCATCAGTTTATGAAGTTCTTTAGATTCCACATGTAAGTGAGATCATGTAATGTTTGTCTTTCTCTGCTTCACTTACTTCACTTAGCATTAATACTCTCCAGGTCCCTCCACAATGTCCCAAAGGGTAAGAGATCCTTCTTCTTTACAGCTGCATAGTATTCCATGCTATAAATGTCCCACAGCTTTTTTATCCACTCATCTTCTGATGGGCACTTGGACTGTTTCCAGATCTTAGCTATTGTAAATTATGCTGCTATGAACATAGGGGTGCATATATTCTTTCTGATTAGTGTTTCAGGATTCTTAGGATATATTCCTAGAAGTGGGATCACTGGGTCAAAAGGCAGCTCCATTTTTAATTTTTTGAGGAATCTCCATACTGTTTTCCATAGTGGCTGTACTTTTTACTGGTCTTTTCCATCTTGAAAAACATTCCCCCTCAGATGTATCCCTTCACTCACTGCCAGCCCTCTCCCTACCCTCGACACTCAAATACCCAGGAGAGACTCAGTGTTTACTGAAACATTGGCAGCCATTCATTTCTCCTAATCCTGGGACTTCACAGAGGCTCTTCCCTCTTCCTCTCTCTCTTTCTTCTCTTTGAAACTTGCAGCCTATCTTCTTTCCCTTTAGGAGTTGGTTTTGATGTAACTCTTTCTAATAAGCATATCCTGGCCATCCTGACACAGGACTGTGTGCCCTTCCTCTGTGCTTCTCAGTGCCCTGTATGCATGATTTTCACACCATACTTTAATGTCCAGGTACTGACCCGCATTTCCTCCTGAACTATAAACTCTTGGAGTCTGGGATCATGTCCTAATCTTCTCCTATTCCAGCATCCTGAACTTACTTGGTACAAGATAGGTGTTCCTTAAATGTTTGCTGAGCAAATTAATTGCTTTATTAACCACAAATGCCACAGAAATGTAGTTTGTCTGATCATCCCTGTATTTGGTACAAATTAACCACGTCTTATGAATAAATACAAATGCGAGTCACTTCTCTTCAGCCCAGCACTACCTGTGGCTGTTGTGTTGTCTAAATGCCCATCCACTTCCTCTCCACATGCCTCTGGCAGACTCTAGTAAATTCCCACACTATTGGGAATAATGCGTTTCATCCAAGAATATGGCCCTCAACCGAAAATATGCCCCTCATCCAAGAATATGGCCCTCAACTGAAAATATGCCCCTCATCCAAGAATATGGCCCTCAACCAAAAATATGCCCCTCAACCAAAAATATGCCCCTTACCCAAGAATATGGCCAGCAAGTCATCGAACCACATTTTCCCTAATGTTCAGGATGATTTTCAAATATCCTTGAAAGCTTTTTGTCCTATGTTCAATTTTAACTTATATTCCACTCAGTACCATGGACAATAGTAAAGGAAAGATTTCTTTTGAAGGCTGCAGAAATGAATAAAACATTCTTCTTACATATGTTATGGAAGAACTAGACAAGTGCTCCACTAACGGAAGTGCTGTGATTCGTGCGCCGGGTGCCACGGATGTGTAGAGGAGGAACTTACTGCTCTCGTATAAGTGGCGTACAATCTGTAGTGAGTAATGTTTGGGAAAATTCCTTCTGTCAGTCTGTAAATTTGTTTTGCATTTCTTTTCTTTTTTTAATTTATTGATTTGAGAAAGAAGGAGGAAGGAGAGAGAGAGAGAAAATCAGTTTGTTGTTCCACTTATTTATGCATTCATTGTCTGATTCTTATATGTGCCTTGCCCAGGGATTGAGCCCACAACCTTGGTGTATCAGGATGATGCTCTGACCAACTGAGCTACATGGTGAGGGCTTGCCAATCTGTTAATTTTTTATTGATATATAAAAATGGACATTATATCCTGTTTCTTAACCCTGCTTACTATTGTTATATTTCAAATAAAATATACTTTTTACTCCTCTCAAAAGGAAAAAATATATGAATATAAAAGTTGTACAGGCACACACACCAAAATCGTAGTTCCACAACTCAGTCAAAGCAAGTGTTCTAATTATTGAGATACTGAATTTGTTTATCCCCGATAATAGAAGCTTCATGAGGACAGGGACTTGGTCATTCATGTTCATTCTTACAGCCTCAGTACTTACAAAAGCACTATTTGTAGTAATCAGGAAATAAATATTTGTTGAGTGAACGAATCAATGAATATATATGTATATATTGTTAGCCAAGGACTGCTACTTTTTTTTAATTCAAATGAATTTTGAATTTGTTTTCTTTAACAGATGGGAATACTGCTGAATACTTTGCTATTAATGAAACGTCAGGAGAACTCTCAACCACTCGCGCTTTGGACCGGGAGCAGGTGGGCCGCTTCGCCCTTGCCATCCTGTGCTCTGACCTGGGGGATCCACCCAGAAGCTCCCTCGTGCAGTTGCAAGTCAGAGTCTTGGACGACAACGACCACAGCCCTTCCTTCCCCACGCCTCAGTACCAGTCCTTCGTGAGAGAAGACGCTGAAGTGGGAACGGTGGTGCTTGTGCTGGCCGCCGTGGACCACGACCAAGGCCCCGGCGGGCAAGCTGAGTACCTCCTGGCGGAGGAGGCTGCGGGCGCCTTCACCGTGGACCCCGTGGCGGGCACCTTGAGAACCGGCCACGCCCTGGACCGGGAGGCCCGCTCTCAGCATACATTTCGGGCTGTGGCCAGAGACTGTGGTGTCCAGGGCTCAAGAAGCAGCACAGTGATGATAAAAGTACATGTCACTGATGTTAATGACAATGATCCAGTTTGGGACCAGAACCCCGTAGAGATTTTTCTTTCCCCTCAGTCACCTATAAACGAGACTATTGCCGTTCTGAGAGCCAGTGATCCAGACTTGGGGCCCAATGGAACTGTCACCTTTAGTTTTGCAGAGACCCAGTCAATGTTCTCTATTAATAAATATACAGGAGAGGTTCAACTTCAGCAAAACCCATCTTCAGAATATTTTCCAATCTGGCTGCAGCTTAAAGTTATGGACCAAGGAGTCCCAGCTAGGACAGCTATTGGTCTCTTTGTCATTCGCATGGAAGGACAGGATATAAAAATGGCCTTCAGCCACCATCTGTATGAAGGGGTTGTGACCGAAAATTGCGAGGCAGGTAAGTATCCCTTTGAGTGTTTTTATATTTTGTACTTATTTTGGCAAAATGCTTAAAACTAGAGATTATGTAATAATAGTGCTATTGTAGATTAGTTATAAATTTTTGAATTTAGCCAATTCTTGGTATGCTAATTTTTATCCAAAGTATATCAGAAAAATATACTCAAATACAGTATTAGACACATGTGACAATTTTTCTTCACAACGCTAATGGTTTTTCAGTAATTTCCACACAAGTTTATACCATAATGGGGAACATAAAAACAAAACTACCAAACAGATTAATTTAAAATATCCTTCTACACCAAAGAGAAAAAAGTTTCTTTGTAGATAGTTGTGAAATGAAAGAAACTCAATCTACATAATCATATCCAACTAGAAAACAAAGAATTGAATCTTCTGATCCCTTTATCCCACCAGGCAAAGCAAAGGGCCTCCGGGGTTGGGGAGAAGAGGAGTGTGGTTGCTAAAGGTCTGATGTGTGTTGTGCCCTTGCTCATGTCATTTTTTTGTTTTGTTTGTCATTTTATCATGATTCAATTTCACTTTATACATACCTAAACCACTATTCAAAAGGAAGCCTGCTATTTTTCTGAACTTAATTTATTCATGTCGTAGTGAAAATATATTTTATATATTATATACTGCCTTGTATATGAAAAGAGAATATTCAGTATAAAATTGAGTATTAAATTAGGGTTGTTCTATGTTGCAGATTATTGACCTGACTTCCACCCTCTTTTGAATTATGGGTTGCTTACTCAGAAGTCCTGTTATTGAGTCTAAACATAGTTAAAAGTAAATTGCTATTATCTTATTAAATGAAATAATAGTGGCTCCCAAAATAAGTCAGAAATGTCCAAACTATATATATTCTTATGTATAATGAGACTTCCACATAAGAGTTAAATGTTAAAAAATATGAAATTATTCTTAGAGCTATATTTCTATTCATCTTAAGAGGCATAAATACCAACCTCATAGCAGAGCCTGTTGGAAAGTAAAATTAACATGTTCTAAATAATATAGCACAAAATACATCATATTAATCAATCTTGAAATTAATCTGATAAAGTTGTACAATCAAGCCCAGCCTTTGTCTGTAGTGCAGATACAAACATTTCACCCTAAACATCTTTGACGTATGGTCTTTTAGTCTCTACTTGAATGTTTCAGTGATTGAGAGTTTAGGACAGTATTTCTTGAACTTGTGTATAAAAGCAGTGATATTTGAACCCCCCTCCCCTGCCGCAGAGTCTGTTTCCCAGTTCTTCTAGGTTCTGCTTAAGTCTGGGGTCCAGACCCTGTGGTTTTTAATAAGTTCTATAGGTGATTTGTTGCATGACAAAGTTGGAAACCCCTTCATTTGGAAAGTCATATTTTGAACCCAGATCTGCCCTTTTTGTAATTATCCATAAATCCTAGTTCTGCCCTCTGGAGCACTCTACTGCTGTACATAATCACTTTTCAGATATTTTATTTGTTCCTTCAACACTTTTTTTCTTTTTGGGAGTACTACATGCCTGACTCTTTTCCATTGGGATATGTTAGTGAACTGAGAGACAAAGCTGCTTGTCCTTGTGAGGCTTGCATTCTAGCAGAGATAGACAGTATCCATAAGCATAATAACTACAGTCTATGTTAGATGGTGGTAAAAGCCATTGAATAAAGAAAAGGCAGAGCAAGGTTAGAGGAAGTAGAGAGTGCTTGAAGAGTGACAAATTCCAATTTTAAATAGCAGCTGTAAGATCAGGCCTCATTGAGCAAGTGACATTTGGCCAAAGACTTAGAGGGGAGGTAGCCATCCTTATATTTGGGGACAGAGTGTTTCAGAAAAAAGGAAAAGCTGCTGGGAGCTGGCCTGGTTTGTTCAAAGGACAGCAAAGAGGACTGCGTGACTGAAGCCGAGTAAGCAGGGGGAGAATGGTAGGAAATGAGGTCACAGGACTAAGAGGTCATGCAGGGCTTTGTGGGCCATTGGAGGACTTTGGATTTTACTTGCAATAACTTTCCCTTCTTTAGTTTGTTCATTTACCCTTCACTTAAGATTTCCAACCACTGCTAGTGAACATTCACACCCAGTAAAAATTTTCCAGAGCAATAGGCATTAAATATGCTGTTCCTGAATAGAATTGGCATGGAAGCCATCATTGTTAGTACAATTTTTTACATTAGTGAATGCAATTTCTAAATATACCTAAGGCATTTCCTAATTGTTAAGATATCCTTTCTCAATTCACCCAGGGTCAGTTTGCAGAATTAAACCTAAATGTAATATCTAAGGTACCCTAAAGAAAAAGTTTCAATATGAAATTAAGTGAGGGATTAGTCAGTATAATATTTCTGGTTGAATTCAGCAATGATTTAATAATAACACTATTAAAAACTGCTTTGGAAAGGGAAATTTTTTCCTTTTGCAGGGCCATTCATTTGTATGTCTCAGGTTCACTCTGTTGATAGGAGGCAACCTTTACAGGAGGAAGCGGCCTTGATTTTAGCCTGTTTCCCATCATTTAGGCAGCATCTCATCAAATTTGTATACCTTCCATCTGCTCGCAGCCATCACAGTTGGGATTAATCAGTATGGTTAAGAGTAACATGAGATAAAAAGTTAGGGCAGAGGACAGTGAAGACCAAATTACATTCTTACCTCCGAGGCTGGGATTCCCTCAGAAAAGCTAATGAATAAATGATGGGAAGCTTTTTGTCTTGCTATCCACGTCGTTGTGTTTTCTTTGACCTCTGATCAGAGTTGTCCTTCTTAGTTCTCTTGTATTTGGAATTACTGAATAAAAATTTGACTGTTACCTTTTAAGTAGAACTTAACACTCCATTTATTAAATCTTACACATAAGGAAGCTAGAAATACTTCTGGCGGTAATACAAGCATATGGTATCCATAAACATCCAGGTAGGTATACGTTTCAGGATATCTGAAGCAATAGGTTGGGACCTTGCTTTGAAGACTAACATGTGTGAAGGGCATAAAGTCTAAGCTGAGAGGTAAAGCTTCAGCATAAGCAGGAAGGAGAAGGAGAAGGAAAGGGGAGGATGACAGTCAAGAAGGCTGTTGAGTATGATTTGATACAACTAGCCTACACCTGGGTCCCGGGAGCCTGTGAAAAACAACGACAAGGTGCATGAAATATTGATTGACATTTCAAGTTGGCCAAAGCTTTGCCTGGAACATAAATTCAGTAGAGACTGCCAGATCACATAGACACCAGATGGTGATGGGTGGTTTTTTTTGCATTTGAATTCCAGTGGTTTTAAAGGATTGTGAATCCATTGATCAGTGTTAAAATGGCCCTGATGTAAATTATTTAATATTACTTTATAGCTTCCAGCATTATTTCCCTCCCAAATATACCTGCAACTTAATTTTATCTCCAAGTGAAAACTATATGCCTATTGGAAGCTTAACTTTTCCATGGGTTACTCAAACATCCTATCAGTAGGCACTACTTGACATCTTCAGTGAATTATTTTTTGTGTTATAATTTTTATCGTTCTAAACTGATTTTAACATTTGGATGTTATTTTAAGAAAATTAAAAGTTAAAACAAATTACTCCAATTTATTTATACTTGTTTAACATTTCTTTCTTAGCCCACAAGTTCGTTTTTATTAATATTGTATTCATCAATTGACAACATTAAACTTAACATCAATTGTTAAAAACAATATGTAGTTCAGTAAAGAGTTTCCATTTTGAAAGCAACCTTTTGGTAGGTAAAACCTCTGGAAGAGGCAGTCATGAAATGTTCACTTATTCGTAGAAAGAGTCATTCTCGAGGGCACCAGTTGCCTACAGGCCAGAGGCTGGCCGTACGGCAGTGTGACAGGAAAAGTTGAAGTCTCGGTGATTTCCCACTCTTTACTCCTCCCTCTGTTCCTTTTCGACCCAGGTGAGAGGGAATCCAACCATTCTGACTCTTTCTGAAGTGAAAGATAAACCACTTGTTTGTCCATGCTGTTTCAATGTATTAAAACAATTTAAACGAACCCCCATAGTTCCCAGTGTGGACTAGGCACAATTTTATGCATTTCTTTGAATTACCATGAGGGGAAAATGGAAATGATGGATTGTATCCATACCCTGATTAAAAGTTAATACTCAGACTTTAAAAGACTTGAAATAAAATTAAAACATGATGAACTGTGGGGGCATTCCAACTAGTAGAATATATTTAATATTATATCATAAATAAATTAGATGTTGATATTTTGGAGGAAATCTTCCAGCCCCGTGGCAGTTGATTCAGCGAATTCTGGCTCCTACATTTGGTAAGGTTGGGCACATGGATGTAGGATGTGGGAACTGAACGCTGGTAGGAGCTAGTGTAGCCACTCTCCTGCCCACAATGCGAAAGCTCTTTTCTCTTTCAAGTGGAGATGATAAAGACTTCCTGGGAGGATGCTGTAAGGATTAAATGAGGTCATCCCCAGGGTAGTAGTCAGTGCTCTTCTTGTAATTATTGTTACCCTCCTTCTGTCCTAAGTCTTTAATTAAATTCTATAAAGTTATCTGGGTACACATTCTCACCAGAGCAACCCATTGTTACTGAACAGTTATGTAGCAACAATGAACTAACTACTTGCAGTTTTAAAACCCTGCCATTCCATTTTGTTCATTTTGTCTTCAAACCAGATAAGAGTTATACTTTCCAAGATGACAGAGTCCCCATTACTATGGAAGTGGTCATCCACGACTTTGAAATAGGGCCCAAAATAGAAATTTTTATGATAATGAAAAAAGGAAGGAAACATTAGCCGTCATCCCTAGTTCATTATTTAAGGCCAGTCTCATATTTGGAATGGAATTCATTGGAATGAGTACCATCTAACTAACCAGCCATTTACAATGATGATGAATTTATTACCTTAGCTGTGACTCTAAGATAGCTCTGGAGGAGATAGAAGGAGAAAGGCCTTACTCAAGGTCAAGTTTTCTCAGAAGACAAACACCTCACAAGGCAGTTTTCATCTTTGTGAATT